AGCAGATCCCCAAGATGCTGGAGTGTACCTGTCAAAATAATGAGCAAGTCAGCTACCTACTGTTCTGTACCATAGCCAGCCTTCTGCCATGGTGGGGCCTGGCAGGCCTGGCACCATCCTCTGCAGAATCCTCTCAGAACTGAGTAAGACTGGAAATGTATTGAGCTGGGAAGTGTCTTGACAGTGCATCAGCCTCATCTTCCTGGAGTGGCTTTCCCCGTGGCTCCTCCTTTCTGTTTGTCATGGCATTGTGATATCTAGGTGGCCCCTTAAGGAAAGATATGGTGTGAAGGTGAAAAAGTGCATTTCACCAAGGCATTGTCTTCAGAAGTGACATCAAACTACAAATGTAGAAAATGTCTTAATATTCCCTGGTTTGCTTTGTCCGTGTGTTATAGTCCACCTGTTGCAAAAAGCAGTAGTGTTAAAAATGGAAATGCTCTTTGGGGAGAAAAAGAGGAAAAAATGCTGATGTTTTGTTCTTTGGCTTTATTAGTAAAGATCAAGCTATGTGGTGGTAATTTGTGCGAGTCTGGTTTCTTCTTCATTGTGGTTCTCCTTCCTTCCCTCCAGCACTGTGGTGGTAGCTGTCCAGTGGATCTGACTGCTGAGCTGCTTCCCTATGTCATAGTCCTGCAGGATGAAACACATGCCAGAAAGAGGGCAGATGGCTTTTTTCGCAACCTTCCCATTTTCCTAGCACTGCAGGTGCCTTTGCTGCTGCTGCTTCCAGATGATTTTTAGTGTATGTTGCTTACTGCAAAGCTCTGTTTTCCTTTGTGGCCACACAGATCCTGTTGAGTTTGCAGCTAAAGCTAGATTTGGGATGAACTGTTTTTTAAAACACATGTATGAAATCTCTCTGTCCAGCTGAGTAACAGCTGTTTCCCAACTTTGAGGAAGTTTGAAATGTTCCTCTAGTTGGGTTTTAACAGAGGGAAACATCAAGTGTGCAGCAGGCAAAGGGTAGTATTTCTGTTTCACAAAGCCCCTTGTGCCACTCATGGCCATCTTGGCCACCAAGAGAAACTGCTGCTTTTTTTGGATGGAGAGGATCAGTTCTGGTCTGTAGACAATCTGTACAAGTTTAGGTGTAGCTTTATAACAGTGTTGGGGCTTTTCTAACACAGCAGATTGCTAACATATAAATAGTACATGAGAGATGCATGGGAAGAAGAACATGTACTGCGTGTCACCTAACAGCTAGGGCAGAGTCACCACTGTGCTGCCTGAGCCCTGCCCAGCAGGGTGTTTGTTGCAGCAGCCCTTCCTAGTTCACTTTTTTCCCTTATGTTTTCATTGGTTTCACGTTGATTCACAGTCTGGGCCAGTGTGATTTATGCACAGGGACCTGAATTTTAACCACTGCTTGCTTCTCCTTGACATCTACAAGTGGATTGTGGTAAATCCAGCTTGTAGCTATTAAGTTAGTTAGGGTTAGGCAGCAGGAGAGAAGCAGAGCGGGACAGGTAAAGCGACAACCATCCTTGTGACTTCTTTCACTGCATAAAGCTAAAATAACAGATTGGTGCAGGAAGGCAGGGCTGCTTAATTTGTCACTGTTCCCTCTGCCTTCTCTGCTGCCACATTCACCTTGCAGCACATGGCAGCTTGGAACAGTGGCTGCCAGTTGCACCTCTCATCTTTAATTGCCTTATTATCTAGAAGTTGCTTTGTAAAAGCTGTGTCATGCTGGATCTCGCCCTGTGTGGTGTCTCTGTAGTCATTTCCCTGCCAAATAGTACAAACTCTAAGGCAGCTCAGCTCCTGGTGACAGGGCATCAGAGGGGAAGATTCCCACAGCCACAGGCCCTACAAAGGCATCCTGTTCCACCTACTCAATTAGCAATGTTAGATCAGAAAAAGAAGATAGGCTTCACTATCTGAAAAAGTGTTATGGCTTCTTGGCTGACCTGTGTGCCAAAAAGTGATATTTTGGATATATGTATATGAAGCCAACCTTTCTGAGATTTTGGAGTTGGGTTTTTTACATCAGGGAATAAAGAAAACCTCCTTTGCTTCTTCACATGGTCTGAATACCTTTCTGGAAAATATGGTTCCAGCTGTGTGTTGTTACAGCAGTGTAAGCTGTCACAGAGGTTCCAAAGGAAAAAAAACCAAAAAACAAAAACCACCCACAAATCATAAAATGCTGTCACTACATTATCACTTTTTAAAGTGATGAAACACAGGCCTCACCAGACTACAGGCAAGGTGAACCAAGTGTGCCTGGTGGTGCCTCTTCCCATAAAGCAGTGTAGTAGGAGATTTCAGCAGAAGGGCACTGACCCCATTTTCATTCTTCCTGCTGCCAGGTCATAGAGGAAAAGGTGTCCTTCCCTGCCTGGTCCCTGCCTCCTCAGAGGTACATCAGGCACATTTTGGGGATGCAGAATTGAGGAAAGGAGTCAAGGGGTTACATTGTTCATGTTCCTGGCTCCCCACCCGGGTTCAGTGGCTGCACTAAAGCAGCTCCCTTCTGACCAAGCCTTGTCAAGGGGTTTAACCCCTCTGGATCAAACCTCACTGCAAGAACCAGGAGACAGACAGACACAAGACACAAAAGGCACCTTCCTGAGGTAGAAGGGAAGATCTCAAAGGCCGGCTGGGAGTCAGGTGCACACTGGTCCAGTGTCTCTGGGAGGGGGCAGGGGAGTGCCCCATAGATCCCCAGGGCTCCCAACCATGACAACCAACCTTATTTTGCAGTCACAACACCACCCTGCCTCAGGGAGGCACCAAAATCTCTCTTGTGTTTGAGAGAGGACGCAGTATCTGCACCAGAGAATCCTAGCAGATAAAGCACCAAACCCCCATAGGGAAGCTTACATTAGCAAAGCTGCAGCAGCTGGCAGCTCCTGGGGCATGGCTACTGCCAAGTAAAATCCTGCTGGAATTGGCTGACTAGGGGAAAGGCATGTAAACAATTTGCTGTTAACACATATGGATGCCCATGCAGGTGTTGTGTTTTCAAGAAAAGACCAAGTAAGTTTGCTATCAGAGAATTCCCTGTGTTGTATGAGGTAGCGTTACCCATCAACACTAGGAAATAAATGAGCCAGACTTCAGAAAAACTTCACCTGAAGTTGAATTTCACTCTACAAAGGCTTCTATTTGATGTCTTCAGGATGTCAGCTGTCATAGATACATTTTATAATATAAAAGGACTTAACTTAGTTATCTATTAAAATGAGGCCTGTTACCATTTCCCAGAACATCAGCTGTCATAGATACATTTTATAATATAAAAGGACTTAAACTATCTATTAAAATGAGGTCTGTTATCATTTCTATTGACAGAAAAAGGTTGGAATTGCTTTTAAAAAAATATTTTCTGTAAACACAACCATACTCGGTGACATACACAGCTTTCACACTTCAAGTGCAAGCTAATTTAGAAAATATATACAGTTGTGATGCGCAGATGGACCACGTATTCATCTATAAAATGTACTTTTTGTTATCGGAAGTGTCCTGAACATAAGACTGCACACACGAATGTACTTTGCTTTGTTCCTTATGATGATACACAGTAAGGGAAAGCCTTGGTTACAATTTCACCCAAGTCATGTATGCAGGAATGAACTCTGCTCCAGATGGCTACTGATTCCACCAGCAGAAACAGTGGCCCTTACAAGTTTTTCTGTTAGATACTCATATTCACAGAAAAAGGGATGTTTTGCAAATCCAGCTTGACACCTAGAAACAAGTTCTAAGAAGCCACTAGCACAGAAAAATAGCACAATAAAGCTTTGGCTCCCTGTACAACACAGGTCTTCAGATGACTCCAAACTAGCACAGTGAAACCTCTGTGCCCTGGCTGGCATCACACAGGAGCATTCTCCTGGTACGCAAAAGACCACATGGGACTCCTAACCCTCAGCTCTGCTATTTTTTGCAGGTCCTTCAGCAGCAGGAGGCAATGGCAACTTCTTTTTGTCACTGTTCAGTGACATGACTAAATACGCACAAAAGAAGGTCCCATTACTACAAAGTCAGGTTTCAGAGCAACTTCAAATTTTTGCTAGTCATGGATGGGTGTGAGAACCCTCACAGGCAAAAGGGCTCTGTGTTTGTTCAAAGATGTTCATTTGTGGTCACTCAGAGGATTGGCCGCTCACAAAGCACATGAAGAGCTAAGAGATATTGAAAGCCAAACCATCTGTGCACCAGGTCAAAGAATGCTGCTTAGAACCTGTCCCAAAAAGTTATTCTTTTTCTGACCTAGAGACAAGAGCAGATTTACAGATCTATCACCTAAGATGACAGCTTTGCTTGGCACTCTTTGTGGCAGCAGTAGGACTATAATAGAAGATACTATTTCTTAGGGACTAAATTCCCATCAATGCCAAAGGGAGTAAACTTGTACCTATGCTCCCATCCCTGCTTACTGTAAATGTTTTCCAATTTAGGGAAGAAAACTTAGGTATTTCAGTGTTTCTAACTGTTCCGTCAAGAGGCACAAGTAGCTCTGAGTTTGTAACACCTTCCTCTCGTGCCAACATCGAGGTCATCATCTGTTTCATACAACCTCAGCGCTGGTAAAACAAGGGAAGCCAAGATGCCGGATCACACAGGCGAAGTTCACATGATGGGCAAGAAACACTGAAGTCCCAGTCCTTAATTCTGGATGCATCATTTAAAGTAGCAACTCCCTCTTTTCTAGAGCACTTCTCAGAGCCCCTGCCATGACTCAACCAATACTGGTAATTCTAGTAACAGTGACTTTTATCAGAGCATCTTTCTGTTATGTATCAGAAATAAACTGTAAAAGAAAATAGTAAAAGCAAAAGATGGTAGTCACAATTTCTGGTGAAATCATTGCCCTGCCGATTCTACCTTTATCTTTGTGTGTCGTTTCCCTTAGCAGAGGGCATTTCTGCTGTGGGGTCTTAGGAGGCTGCACATCACTCTGGGGTCACAAGAACTACTATCAGTAACCTGCCACGATGCAATTAAAACCTTGATTGAAACAAACAATAAATAAAGAGAAAGACATACAGGTTTTAAATATAGGTTTCCATTAAAAGCATTACAAAGACAACTTCTCTCATTTTGAAGAAAAAGAAAAAATCCACTTCTACTAAAAAAAAAAAAAGAAAAAAGAAAAAAAAATTTAAAAATCACCCTTTTGCAAGTAACTTTAATGAGGAAAGGTGCAGGGAAGGGAAAGAGAGAGGACTTGGAGAACTAGCAAGTGTTCAAAAGGGCAGGTGCCCTCCATCTTGGTCATTTTGCCATTGCACCTTCTTCTCACACAGTCAGGTCAGAGAGCCAGAGTCCTCATGTGGAGGATTTCACCACCTGCTCATATGGGGGAGGTGGTGTGTTGCAATAGGAAGGTGGGGGTGGGTAAACCGGGTTTCCTTGTGGGGAATTGGGCTGGACGTGGAAAGCCATAGCCATGGGATTCATCACAGGTCCACCTGGATCTGTGTAATACGGCACTCCAGGCTGTTGTGACCCTGAAAGAAAGAAAAGGAGAGAAAACGTATCAGCAACAGCAGAGGCATCAGGTGTGCTCTCCCAGGGCCTGTGCTCTGCATATTCAGACAAAATTATTCAAAGTGTTCATCAGAGCAAAGACAAAGAGTCTTTCTCCCTTCCAGAAAAAACCCAGGCTGGCAGGACTGCATTCACATCTTCAGATACTACCAGAAAGTTTCAGTTTTGCATCCAAAGGAAATCACTTAGTGAAGCAAAGGGCACCACTGCCCCAAGCAACTACCATTTGAAAGGGAAACGAGTGAGCCCCGTGCAGTTGCTCTGGCAGAAAAGCTTTTCTGTCAGCAGAGAGTAAGGGTGTGGGATCCCAGATGGACATAGGAGTCTCTACTGTGGCCCTGACTCAGGTGTCAAGTCTTACAAAATGACTTCAGAGATTATTTTGTGGTGTCCTGGATTTGCTGATAAGCCAGAGTGAAGCTCAGATGGATCATTTTGCTCCTAGGCACGATACAGTTTAGAGGTGAACCTGTATGAAGCAAAGAGCCAAGCTGTAGTCAGTTACTGCTGGCTAACACAACGGGACGAGATTGCTTTCCATAGATTCAGTTCAGGAAATGACATCGGAGCCTGCAGGGACACGGAAGGGAAATACATGGCCAAACACAAAATTCCTTGGCTATGACACATAAGGTGTAACAGAGATTGCTGCCATAAGAACAAAGTTGGTGTGTAACCCTCCTGAGATATCACAGTGGGTGGTGGAAGATGACTAAATGCAACTGAAGTCACAGACTATCTGAAGATTTAAGTTAGTTTTTTTTTTTTCTTTCTCTCCGTCAGTTTAAATAAAGATGGACTGGGAAAAAAGTCATGGCTGAGCAACAGCTTTTCTTCTCTTGGTGCCAGTAAGTGTTTCCTATAAGGACAGCTTCTAAGAGATCTTCCCCTTCCATTCTCCCAGTCAGGCTCCCAGAATAGCACTCGCAGCAGATACTGCTGGAATGGGAGAAGATGCTGCTGCTGTCTCTGCAGGGAAGAAGGAGACAGGCATTGAGCCACATTTTGAGGGCTCCACCTCAACAGTGAATTGGCTACTGGTACCAAACCCAGAAAAGTAATTACTGGAAAATGGGAACTTGCTTTACTACTAACTTTCATTGCTTTTGCAGCTAAATATTTCTAGAATGGTAGAAAAAGTAGAAATAAAAAATAAAATAAATTGTGGGGTTAGCTCAGAGCCCAGAGCTTTTAAATAACAGTAGTAACAATCTGGAAGCAGGTGCCATAATCAGGTCATCAAAGAGCTTGAGCTTATTTTATATTTGCCCACAATTTATGTTCCTTGAAGCACCATGAAAGAGTAAAACTGTGCTCTAAATTTAAATCTGGTGTTTATCAAGCCAGCCAAAGACACTCCCTGTTCACATAAACACCAGGCTATTTTTCAGGCTTAAAAATATTAGTCTAGTTTGATTGGCTCTCCCACAGCAGCAAAATATTCTGTGTTCAGTTAAGGAGAAAAACAGATGTGGAACGGGAGCCCTAAAAAACCCTTAGAATTTAAACAAAGAAGTGTCAGTTTGTGTCTGCAATACCTTTTTAACCACTTAGGCCTAGGAGAGTTCCCAGCCAGAACTAGCTACCAGAGAGGAAGAAATTACAAACTTAGAAAGCAATTTTGTCAGAGAAGCCCTCGCTAGGTAGGTCCTCCTTATGCTCACAGTTATTACTTACCAGAGAGACAGCAATCAGACTAACAAGGGGAAAAAGACCACTTTGGCACAGAAAGACTGCAGCACAGAACACTGAAGGCAAATCAGAAATACCTGCAAGATGGCCAGATTGTGGAAGAAAATGCTAGACTTTCCTTCAGCTCTGCCAGTTGTTATCAATTGTATTTAAAACTCCTTCTCCCTGAATTTCAACACCTATAATTTTGTCTACCCTACAAAGGGAGAGCTTGCTAGTCTCCTTCCATGCATGGACACACACCTGTATAGGTATTAGGAACCAAAACAGAACTGAAGGTTCTGTCATCCCGTGTGTTTCAAAACCACTTCTGTACACTGCAGCTGAATAATGCTGTTGGAAAGGCTGAGGACATCACTCACGGCAGTGTCCAAAAGCCAGTGAAAAAAAGCTCAAACCCACCCTTTTTTAATGCTTTGGCCAAAGTAAGAAAGCAGTGAAACATGTATGAGCAGTCTCTGACCTGATGCAGAGTTCACTGGTTGTCTGGTGTAAGACACATTAAAAGTAGGTTCTTCTACTAATGGAGGAGGATACATCCGCCTTCGGATAAAGAAACCAGCTCCACAACAGAACAAAACTCCCATCATCAAAAGGAACCTAGGCAAAAAGAAGAGGGAAGTAAAAATTAATTATTAAAGAAATATGGATATTGATCTAGTACCAATATCCAACTGTGACAGATAAAAACTCTCCAACAGTTTAAAGTTAGAAAGTGTGTGTTTATTGTGATGCTGGGCAGCGTGCGGAATAGCTCCCAAATACACCGCAGCTTCCAAGTGATAACAGAGCCCTTTTATTCATACAAGTACTGAATACACAAAATACAAATTCATATTCATAATTTTGGTACAACCCATTCCTCACTTCATATGCTAATCATTTCAAAAGCCACTAAGCATGAGTAGTTTGTTCCTTGAAGTGGGTTGGTGGTCCCTTTCATGGGGATGAGTACCAAAATGAGGAAGTCAATGAAGTCTTCCTTGTTCTGACCTTTCTACATTTTCAATGCAAAAATTACAAATGAACTCTTGGTAGATCTCCCATTCCTTGTCCTCAGTTGGTTTCAGAACAGAGGAGGCCTACAACTGTCTCATGTTCCTAAAAGCTATTTGTCCGTTTCTATATTCTTCATTATAAACCCAGCTAACTAAACATTGTGTTGACAAGCAATCAATTATTATTTAACTACTAACTCTTAACTTCATCAAGGCCCACTCATTTATTTTAATTAACTAAGAAATAAGTAAAACCAAGAGATTGACTAAGAGATTATCTCTAACTAAAATCTTAGCTCCTCTAAATTCTCTAAATTCTTTAAAGTTTATGTTTCAAAAACCTGCACATTCAGGCAGCATTTCAATCCAGACTGTTCACTGAGAATACATCAGCCTATAACTTCTAACAGGATTTCTTAAACACGTTGCCTCTTGAAAGCAGGTCTGTCATTTGGGATAGCACTCATGGAGCACTTATGGATGTATTATGGACATTTTCAGTGATTAGTACTATTGTCAGTGTTCTCTGGCATGTAACCCAAAAGTAAAAAACACTTGAACTTTTCAAAAGTTCAGGTTTGCATGTGACCTTGGCCGCTGGGATGCTAAACTGAAATTCCAGGTCCATACAGTTTCAAACTGCTCATCTTGGATGCAGGCCCCGGGCTAACAGGCTAGGCTGCTCAGGATGTTTGTGGAGTACAGAGAAGAACACTATTCTGCAATTGCCATTAAAAGAAGAATTTTAGATATTCTTAAATTAACTCAACATTTTAATTTCATCTCCCATGGGAAATATAGTAGCCGGCACTTGAACTCAATCCAGAAGACTGAAGCTTTCAGTACTGATGGCGACAAACTTCACTTTGTGCTTCCTACATGGGATATTACATTCTCCCTGAAAAAAGACATAATTTAGCTACCATTCTCCTCCTCTCTGCATCTTTTCCAACCTAGCTAAACTGTCCTCACTATTTCCTTGCCCTGGTGTGATGGAAACAGGAGCATGCAGCAAGGGCACATCAGATTTTGATCTTCAGACAGTGGCTTTCACCGTGTTTCCTTGATCAGTTACCAGACACTCCAGTGACTCATGCTCTTGTAAATAGGAATGGTTGTTCTGCCTGTAATTGCCATCTTGTTTCATGGCTTTTTGCTGGAAGACAATGACAACTGTGCTTTTTTAGAAAGCACAGAAGTTGGCCAGAGGCAAGCCTACACACCATGCTTATCTCCACTGGAAAATTCCCAGGTGGCTCAGAGGAAGAGTGGGGCACAGCATGGCAGCAAGAGTTAGCTCATGCAAAGGCTAAAACTCTGTTCTTGCTTCTACATTAGAAATGAGAGCAGAAGGAGGTTCTTTTTCCCTGAGCCAATATTAATACGTTCCCCTTTGGCAGTGTTCCTGCAAAGGATTTTTTTTCTGAATAGAAAAACAGAGATTTACAACATCACCCCAGGGATTGAGATAGAGAGCTCTTCACTTATATCACTAAGGACTGTACACTGAAATCCCACAGTCAGCTTTGGGAAATCTCTGTATTATAGTATACATCAGGCTTCTGTTTCTCACTGTTTATTTGTTTCAGTTTTGAAGGCTTTAAAAAAAAATCAATCTTCAAATTCCACATTAAAATGCCTGAAAACAGGTTTTCTAGGGAGTCTTTGCTTTCTCTCAACCGTAATGAGAAGGTTTTATTCAGGTGCTTTCTTAAATTCCACTCCAAAAGGAATTTACCTTTTTTTTTCATTATGCATATAACAGTGATTAGTTTAAGCTTTATCCAGATTACTGAGCTGCTGGCTTCACAAGCTCAATCCTTCTGCCTTCTTTTCCTTTGCTGTCATCTCCAGTGAAATCCTCATAGTCATAAATGTACTTCTCTTCCTTTTTAATTGAAGCCTCAATTCAGCTGGCAGGAATATATTAAATCCTGCCTAAAAGCACAATTGTGCTTATACGATCCACTTTTAAAACTGAGTGCCCCAAAAAAGAGGCAGAATGTTGCTGCTTGGGACAGGCACAAAGAATTCAGCAATCCTGGATAAAAGTGAAACTGCTGCTTGTACAAAGCAGCAGGATGCAGAAGCAGGAAAGGTCAGCTTGACAGGATTAACCTCTTTTTCAATGTTTTCTTACTACATAGGAGAATGTTTTAAGAAAAAAACAAAATCTGTGCACTTCTAGGCACACAGATACCTTCCTACACACTTGCACCTACTGTACTTTAAAATACCAGGGCTGGCAATATATCCTGATTTAAGTCCAACCAACAAGACAAGGACAAACACAAAATTACCAAATGCCCTGCACCTACCAAAAATACCATAGTCGCTGGATAGAGAGAGCTCTTACACAGCATCTTGAGCCACAGCAATCCTCATAGGAGCGACATCTGCAGAGAAATAAAGAGACAGAGGTGTTGAGTGGCTGTCTCTCAGATTAAAATGGCATCCCCAACCTTGACACCATTCACACCCCTGACCTAAGCATTATTTCATGAACAGACTACCCTTGGCTGGATAAAGCTCAATTATATGCATGGCACAGCTTTACCCTCAATTCAGGAACTTTTTCTATGTTAGTGAAAATACCTTCCTATATACTTAATCTCAAACCACTGCAAAAAGACCAAATATGGTGTTCAATTCTATATAAAAAATGACAAGTTATAAAGAAAAGCAATTCATTGTGTTTTCTTTCACAGTAAATGAATACTGCAGACCCCCAACAGATGTTTGGAGTTTTATTCACAGGAACAGACAAGAACTGGCAGAATGAAACTGCAAGATGACCCTTTCTTTGAAACCAGCAAACCAGCACCTTCCAAGCAGAGAAACCACTGAGTGCAGAGAAAATTCCAATAGTACCATTTTTGCAAATTTTATGCCCTTTTTTTGTCTTAGAAGTTGCACTGACTGCAACTGCCAGCAACTCCCATTATTAAAGCAGCTTTTCCTCTAAAAATCCCCCACACTTCAAATTACTCTTTTGTATGCATAGAACATTTTTGAATGTATTACATCACCAGTCATTGTGAGCACAAGGTACCACTTCACAAAAAGCAAGCACATACATTAAGGGCAACCTCTGAACAATTCCTATGATAACTCCTATTCCCACACCAATGAAACCTACCTACTAGGGAAAAGGACCAAGTCAACACAGAATCTGTGGTATGTTTCAGACTTGAATGAAAATAAGCATATAGGAATAAAATTACCACATCCACATACAGAAAGAAAAGAGGAGGTGACCACAACTGGATTGATCTTTTTAAGGATGTTCACATTTGTGTGCAGAATGCACATATTTATTTAAGCATCTGGTTCTGGACAGTTTGCTCAACTGCATGACTGTGCTCCCATATTTGTATGGAAACTACAACTGTGTCAACTGAATAATTGTACAGACAATTACACATTTACATGCCCAATTAACAAGACTTCACTCAGAAAATACATTGTTACATAGGCTTCAGCCTCTAACTGGGGCCAGAGGAGGATGCTCTATGGATAGATAATCAGCTGTTTTGCAAGCGAAAACAGTTACATGTTCTTCTGATGATAAATAAGTAGGATTTATTCAGGCAAGCCAGAGGATCTGACATGATCATCATGGCAAGGTTCATTAAGAGACTCAGGCACCCAGTTTGAGACTCAGGCCAAGTTGCTCATGTCAAAGGAGAAGACACCCACTTTGCTGTCATTGAACATGAAAGTGATCCATCTGCAATATTTCTTCTTTAAAGCTTCCCAGGACCCTGACAACTGCTCATACTCAAAGCTACCAAACCTCACATAACTACTGACAAGACTTGGCAAGTCAGCATTAACTTCAGTCCTCTTGGGACCAAGAAATTAAGTATTCCTCCATGTTTCCACAGTGGTTCAACCCAACAGGAGCTTTCAAAACATATGCTGAAGTCAAGGACAGATTCAGATTCCTTACAAAATGAGATGAAAGCTGCTGCCTTCTGTTACACCAGTGCTCACAGTACCCCTTTGCTCTTCAACATGCTTTGGTTGGAGCACTTAATCCATGGTGATGGGTACTTACCTCCTTGGCTGATGCTGCACAGCAAGGATTTTGTTGGATTAGAAAAGCAGAGGAAAAAAAAAAAAAAACCAGAGCCCATAAATCTAGAAACCCTTCTTGAGCCCATCAGGACAAAAATAAAAAGAAGGATTTTAGGAATGTGATCAGTCAGTCCAGACACCTACATCTGACCTTACACAGGATGGGGAGTGGAGGCATCATTTCCCAAAGCCCTAAGACCTTCACCTGTAATAAAACTTAAACAGAGAGGTCACAGAGGCTGCACACACACCTCCCCCGTGCCCACCCTTGCCTTGCTTATTTTGCACCTGTTTTCTCCAGAGCCAGAAAAGATGGGAAATGGCTATTTTAAAATATACAATTATGGTCATTCAAACCACCAAAATTAAAGGAGCATCTGCAGAGGAATACAGTACCTCAATCTATTTTTTTAATCTTTAAGTTATCCAGGTTATGAGTCAGCACCATTTTTAAAGTCTCAAAGGCTTAGCTTTTATTTCTGCAAAAGAAGGATAAAGCACCAGCTGGAAGGCAGAAAGGCTACACTGCTGAATATTTATGAAGCTCCTGAGACCACTGACTGACAAACAGGCCACCAAAGAGGAATTTCAGGTGACTGAACTTTCGAGTGGTTGAAAACAATATGCAAAGGCTGGAGGAGTCTCTAATCATGGCTCCAATTCCTGGCAGTCAGGAAGCTTTCTTACTGTGAAAGACAGTAAGCTCAGTCAGGCTGACCACTGCATTTGCTGTGCATCTGCGAAAGTAAACCAGTACCACAACCCTCACAATCCTTTGAGATTTGACACTGGTAACTTTGTCACTTTTTACCCATAAAACCAAACAGGTGATTTATTCAGTGTGCCTGTGAAAATGGACACATGTAACCATATATAGGAACATGGAATCGAGGCTGGAATCGAGGATGATGCCAACCTGCTGCTTGTACTCCCCACCACTTGACAGCAGCACCAAAGAAGACTGGAAGAGTGAATATTCCATTTGCTGATACTGCCATCAGGTTACAGCAAAACTCTGCTGACCTCTTGTTCTTGATTCTATCCACTGTGGAAAAACAACACAACTCCTGATAACATTCATCCCATTTATATAACAATTACATTACTTACAAAAGCTGTATTTATTAGCTGGCAAAAGTCAACAACAAAATCGGCTTATTAATGCAGTAACATGCAAGCTTAAGTAAAATCAGTCTTTGATGTACTATGTCTCACTGCCTAATGGCAAATCACAACAGAATTAAGACCCCAATTCATTTTAAAAGCCCCAAAATTAGGCATATGCACATATATTTATTGAATTGGTATGCATTTTCTTTAAATTGAACCCATACTTTGGCTTTGCTTTACAAGGAAGGACCAGTCTGCCCAATGCCAGTTGAAGCAGAATGAGCCTTACTATCAACCAGAACTGGACTGAATCCATCTCCAGAGGACTTTTCTAAAGTCCATTTCCCTCTTTCACAGATCAGTGATGATCCCAATAACTGCATTTCCCAAGGGCAACATTCATTTTATTGATCAAAAGTTAACCTACGACACAGGATAAGACATAATTAGTTGCTTTGCTAATCTGCAATTTCATCAATAATACAGTCTCTCTTTCAAAAACTGTGTGCAATGGGATTTATGATTTAGAAGGTACATCTTTTCATTCATAATTCACTGGAATAAAAGGACTGTACGTGCATGTCCAATGTCTTGAACTGCTGGCACACGAAGGAACTGCTGTGTCACAGATCACAGGCCTGTCACAGGGACAAGGTTTTTCTCTGGGTTCACACTTAAATTGTGGCACTGAACTTCCTTCCTTTATGGACAAGCAAAGCATAGTTTCATATAAAGGTATATGGAATGACCCAAATCTTACAAACCAACTCTTTACTTGCATGTGTTCCATGGATAATAGCTGCTCAATTATATGGCCCAGTAGCTCTTCTCCAATTAGACCTGCATCTACACAGTTGAACAATTCCCTTCATAGTAGAGCTGCTGCAGCAAGAAGCTGCATTCCCTACCACCACCATATCTTTGAAACGGAAGCTGTAGTATTCTTAGGTTTTTTTTCTCTAGATGTTTTGCATTATATGGGCCAAAACCTGATGTAACATTTAAGATGTTTGATTAGTAATGTATTTTGGAAGAGTGAAACAAAACATAAATTGTTAATCCACATGTAGTGCCAGAAACCCTACTGCAGACACAGGATGTGCAGGTGAAATAAAACCACAACCTCATATCAACAACCACATACTGTAAACTGCATCATCTCTAACCTCATCTTGTTCTGAAGACAAGCCTGACAGAAATTCCAAAAAAAGGCTGCATACCAGTCATAGGTTAAATGATTGCTACATGTATCTGTAAATTCTGTGATACAAATTGGGATTCATTGAAACACAATAAGCACTGGCAGTTTTGGAGTGAGGGGCAACAAACTAAAGGGAGTCTGGGATCTGATTAGATGAAAATACAGGAATAGACCAAAGCTAAGAACACAAAGGAAACATTTTGGGGGTTGGTAGTAGCATTAGATGAAGCTAAGAAAGTGCCAGATTTGACCCTAATACTGGACCAGAAGGAGTATTCGTAAGAACTGTAAGAGCTGAGGCTGGGTCATCTCCAGGCAGATTCAATGCTGAACCCTCAAAGTCAGAAGGTTCAGGTCTACTCCCATGGAGCAGATGACAGCAGACAGCTGAAATGTGAATATGCATTTACTTGTTCTAGGGCAAAAGAAATTTAAAAAATAAAATAATCTAATCTGCTTGCAACTCAACTGCCAAGATACAATGATGCTGATCAGAGACAAAAACAAATAAGCCTGAAACAAAAAGAAAAAGCAGGCAATCATCACAAAGTGGCTAGCAGAAACTCAGAGCTTCTAATGAAGCTCTGAGTCATGGGTGCACTATCAATGAAGAGTGATGTCACTGAGGTACACGGCCACAAGACTTAGACCTGACAGACAAAAAATGGGGAAGACCAACTGAAAGCATACCATGTAATTGAGAAAGAGTTCTTCTTCTACCAAGTTTACTTAAACTTTTATTAATTTCATACATTTCATAAGTGGATTTCCATCTTTCCATAAAAAGCAGTCTTCAAAGCAAAGCTACTGCCTGCACTGCTGTCTAAGGAAAGACACAGACTACTGGCTGCAGACATGGGGAAGACCACCACACAATGGAGGGGTTATCCTAAGGAATCTATTCTGCTACAAGTGCCCACAGAACATGGAAATTTAAACAGAGTCCAACTCCACACTCATGAGTCCCACCTAAGCAACTATTTCTGAGTCCCAAAGTGGTTTAAT